TTTTTTTTTTTTTTTTTTTTTTTTTGTATTAATTTTTTGTGGCTTGAATTGGTTGGTTGGTGTAAATAAGGTGTAAAGATGGATGAGCATACTGTGGAGAACGTGAATCAACTGCCAAAACTTGAGGTAGTTGATTCTTCTGGAAAGAAGCCAGAGATGGTAGGGTCCTCGTCGTCCATGGTGGCAGATAATGATAGAGTGGTCGTGGTGGTGGAAAATGAGGAGGACGAGCAAGCGCCTCTAATTGGGATGGGTGAGTGCCGTATTTGCCAAGAAGAGGATTCTTTCAGCAACTTGGAGAGTCCTTGTGCTTGCAGTGGGAGTCTTAAGGTACAAAAATGCTTATTTTGAGGAATTCCTTATTGGTCTAGGTTGGTTGATGTATATTTCTGTTATTTATTTTATACTAATTAGCTTGGTATATTTGGTAATCTTTTAATTATATTTCATGAAGTTCTCTTGGGTATTGATTTGATGACTCATTGTAGAATTCATGCCACGACATTGCACAAAACTAAGAGCATCCACAATGCTTTGGGTCTCTTTTTTCATATGTGGCAAATAAATAGACTTAAGTCCATAATGACATGGACAAACCTAAACTAAAAAAACCAAAATCTATACAATGCAAAACAAAAAAGTACTAGGTCTAGAATACATGACAACCAATAAAAATGCTCTAGTATATTTTATTTATTAAAAGAAAAATTAAATGAGGAATAAATGATGAGTGCTTGAGTTTGTACTTGGGTCTAAAATAGACCCAAGTGTGGACTAGGTCTCATTTTTTTATTGCCACATAATCTAGACTAGGTCCACTTTTAATTGCATTGAAGAACACTTTTTTATAGACTAGGTCTATTTCTTACATGGCATGTAACTTTTTTCTAAGAAACCCAAAGCATTGTGGGTGCTCTAATGCGTAGGATGCTTTTGTGTTATCAATAGTCGGGTGCCTACTAATGAGTACATGGTGCCAAACGCTTAACAACATTCCTTCAAGTCACACATGATATCTTTTGATGAGTTGTTGTTTTATGTGTGATAAAGCCTATATTATCTACATTTTTCCATCTGTATTTCGCTCTTAGTATTAGTTGACTGCATGCAAAGATTAAGGGTTATGTTTATCATCTGCCTTACATTTGGCGAACTTTTGTCTGTCCTCGTGGGCCCCACCCACCTGTGTTGTTCAGGATACTCATTTATTCAAATTGCCCGGTTTTATTTTTTGCTGAGACATATTACTTTTCAGTATGCCCACAGAAAATGTGTGCAGCACTGGTGTAATGAAAAGGGAGACATAACCTGTGAGATCTGCCATCAGGTATCTGATTGCTCTTTTTAGCTTAATTCCTTTGGCAATTTTTTTTTTTAAGAAATAGATCAAAAATTAGATAATTCTGTTTGCTTGTATTAATTTTCAACTGTATCTTTATGATGGTGGTTTGGTACATTCCTATTATGATTTTTTTTCCTCTCACCGAAGCAATTTGGGGGTATTCAGTTAGAACTTCAACTTCAAGAGATAATTGATTATTTGGAGTTTGTTTATTTGTAAGTTACTAACAAAGTAACAATGGAAGTGCGTGGTGCCACTAAAAATTTGAGCTAAGTGGTGTTTTTTCTGATAAGCTTATATTTTATAGCGACCTCAAGATGTCCAGAACAATTTTCAGCAAGCTTTTAACATCTGGAAAGATTTTTCTTTTATGAATGTGCAGAAAATATTGCTGTTTGCCTTTGCTCTGTGGACGGGTTCTTGTATAGCCATAAATAGAAAATTTAAAAAGATGATTAGGCAATAAAATACTTATGATTGACATCACCATATACACAGCTTATTTATTTGTAGTTTGTTCTATTGGTTGTGTGAATGAATCATTAGTATCTAAACACGCATTGGGAAAATGTCATCATTCATGTGTACATCTGGGCTAGGTTGCAGTATATTTTATTTTTACTTGTTCATAAGAAGTTTTATGTTCTGTTATCTTTCACAAAGCATTCTATATCTGTGATAGGTCCCAGAATATTTTGTTTTGACTTGTTTCATAAGAAGTTTTATGTGATAGTTGTGTAACACGTGTATGTTTTTTCAAAATTCAAAATAGTATTACTTTTATAATGCCACATCTTTTACATTGTTATGCAGCAATATCAGCCTGGTTACACTGCGATTCCACGTCCTCCTCCTGATGAGACTACTATTGATATCGGGTAAACAACTATTTTTTATGTGTATCAAAATTTATGTCTCATTACTCCTACTGTGATTCTTAAGAATGGGGGTTTCTTTCAGACATTTTTTCCACTGATTCGACAAATTGTAAGATACAATTATGGAATACAAAAATATTTTCTTTTTTCTCTTATTTATGTAATTTGAAAATTTTCTGTATATTATAATTACCTTGAAGCCTAGGATACTTTCGTAGTTACCCTAGTTTGAAGATCTATCCTTTCCTGTCATTCATTTCACTTATCAATTGTAAATATATGTGACCATCACAAAAGTCCTGATTCTGATTATCTTTCTTCAGGGGAGTATGGCAAATTTCTGGGACCCCACTGGACATGCACGATCCTCGTCTTCTTGCAATCGCCGAGGCCGAACGTCAGTTGTTTGAAGCTGACTATGATGATTATAATGGCACTAATGCTAGTGGTGCTGCCTTCTGCCGCTCGGCTGCCCTAATCGTAAGACACTACAAATGCACTAACGTTTTCTATTTGAATAATAGTTTTGCTCTACACGCTGCATGCAAAATTGCAAATGCTGATTAAAATATATTGCCAAATTGCAATTTGCAGTTAATGGCTCTTTTATTACTGAGGCATGCACTTTCCATCACTGATGATGGAGATGGTGATGGAGATGACGACGCATCGGCATTCCTGTCTGTAAGTCGCTGCTTGACCCAACGTTTTGATTTATTTACATTCTTGTCTTGCATTGATATTGTGAGATCTGCTGAGTATTTATCATATTCAACAGCTGTTCTTGCTTCGTGCGGTCGGATTCCTTTTGCCTTGCTACATCATGATCTGGGCCATCAGTATCTTGCAACGCAGGAGACAAAGACAGGTATTACAATTTTGTAATTTTCTTAGTAAATTTTTTGCACATGGATATCACGATGCCTGGGGAGTGTGCACATTACATGCTCTGGTAATGTGATTGTCAGTATTTCGATGACTAAATAGTAACTTCCAACACTAATTCTGCTCTAACTAGGAAATGTGTTTGCCAATTAGTAAGGGCAGTACAACCAATTTATCCACCAATCAATCCGTTTTAACCAATTGTACTCCATTAGCTTCTAATCTGTGGAAAACGAACGCCACATGTACTAACTCAATTCGCTTCTTGATAAACCAAAATTTTATTCAAGAACTCAGCTAAATATAATTTACCCAAATAATAGGAGGCTGCAGCTTTAGCTGCAACACAGTTTGCAATCGTCGTCCAATCTGCTCAAAGCAGAGGCATACTTGTGGCCGATGCCCAGGCTGAGGTACCTTTGACGGCACCCTCTCATTCGGAGCATGTTTGATAACAAGACGTTGGTTTTGTCCGTTGCTGTTTGTGGGTCGTCCTGCTTTCTTGCGGACACCATACAATTTGTATGGAGGGTATTATGGGATTTGGACTTAATGCGGCTCTGTTTTTTCGACTTATCCACTTTTATTTTCCATTATGGGAGTTTTCTCAGTTGCACCGTGTATATTAATTTCAGGGAGCTTTATCGATCTATTAGAGGTTGTGTAACGTATCAATGAAAAGTGTATGTACTTAATGTACCTTGTTAATTAATGTATGACTTTATTTTCAGTTGATTCAAATATCTTTAATCGGCGGTAGGAGAAAAAAAATTTCTGCGACAGTGTAACAATTAGGCCGACTCGCTCGATGAATAAAAATGCATATTTATCCTCCCTATATTATCAAATTCGACTGTCGTACTATACTACTATGTAATACTTTCATATTTTTAAAAGAGTAATATTTTTTAAAGGAGTTTTGATTTAGGGTAAATAATTTTTTCAGGTGGTTTATTTATTTAAAAAAAAAAAAAATTAACTGGACAAAAAAAAAAGAGTCGACTAAAATAAAACTGTCGTATTCTCAGAATACGTTTTCTTAAAAGAAAAAATTAATCAAGAAAACGTATTCCGAGAATACGTTTAAAAAAAAAAGTAAAATGTATTTTTTTTTTTTTTAAAAAACGTTTAAAAAAAGAGGCAAATAATAATTAAAATGTATTTATATAAAACGTAGTTTCAAAATACGTTTCTAACAAAACGTATTTTGGAAATACGTTTGAAAAAAAAAATTATTGAAAAAAAAATAATAATTTATTAAAACGTATCTTGAGAATACGTTTTACAATTAAATTGTCAGTAAACGTATTCTGAGAATACGTTTTTTACGTTTAATATAAAAAAAAAATCTCTTCCTCTCCATTTCATTCACGCAGAAACACGAACAGAAACTAAAAAAAAGAAGCAAGAGGAGCGATTTTTCTTTGTGAAAAAAAAAACTCGATCCAATCTTCATCCAGGCGTGAACCAACAACACCGGCACGAGTCTCATTTCCGATTAATTCATTCGCACGAGGTATATTGTCTTATCTTTACTTTTTACATTATTTGAAGTTGTTTGGAGATTGAGAATTGGTATAATATGTTTGAATGTGGTGGTATTTGAAGATTGAAAATTGCTAATTGATTATCGATTATGTGTGTATGTTGAATTGAGGATTGAAATTTTGTGTGTAAATTGTCAATTGTGTATTGTTTGGTTGTTGTTAGGGTTAGGATTTTTCGAAATTAGGGTTAGAATTAGGGGTTTCAATTTATCCGAATTATAGATGAATTTTATGTTATTGTTGGATTATGAGTTTAATGGTTTGGATGATTATTTGATTGGGGCTATTTTTTTTTTTTTTTTTGTTGGAGAGTAAAAATTGAGTTTTTTTGGAAAAAGAATTGAAAGTATTTATTTGCAACAGGTATAAAATGGCTTATCCCGGTTCATACCTTGTTAATTTATACTGGCATTTTGGGAAGGAAATGTTAAGCGATTTTGTTTCATTTAAAGATCGTCCGAGTGGTTCATTTTTAATTCCGGGGAGGATATCATATGAACAGTTGATACAGATGATTAATGCAAAATGTCAGTTTGAAGAAGGTTGGACAATTCAGGAGATTACTATGATGATTAGCCAACCTGATGGTTCGTGGAATCCTGCAATACTCAATAACGATAGTTTTGAATGGATTTATTACTTTTCTAGTATGTCCATGGTGTATTTGCATTTATCATTGCAGGCAAATACACCCGTTACACAGTTTGAGGATTTTACTCCTTGTTACGGGGGAGTATTTGATGTCGAGGGTACATCGACTTCTCATGTACCTAATTTTGGAGAAGGGACATCGAGAGAATGAGCGACGGATGAGGACGGTGAAGATTTTATTCCCGGTGAAGATTACTTCACAAACGAGACCTCAGAAACCGAATCAGATAGATCGGTTAATGAGGAGAGTGAACCCGAGTTCATCGAAGAAGAACACCCATTTCCTATTGGTGGTCGGCACATATACCGCGAGATGGGTGAATGGGACCCGTCCAGGATAGATGCGAACGAGTATGCTATTCCACGGTGGAATGACGACATTGAGACCATACGTTTGGGTACAGTTTTCCGGAGCAAGGAAGAAGCCCAAACGGGTCTAATGGCTTGGAACGTCGATAGGTTGCGGGAGGTTCGGACAAAAGATTCAAATCAGAAGTCATTCAAACTGGTCTGCAAATCGAATGCAGATGTGCCTTGTCTGTGGAAGGCTCGGGTGAATAAGTTTAGACAACGTGATGATTTGTGGGAAGTAACTGAATGGACTGACCAACACACTTTCATGCAACAGGTCGACAGAAATGACCACAGAAACGTGACCGCCCATATGATTGCGAATCTTATAATTAATAAGATTCAGAAGAAAGTGGAGTACAACATTAACATGGTCCAGGCTGATGTGAAGCAGTGTTGGAAAGTCGATGTCAGTTACAAGAAGGCATGGCACGGCAGAAAAAGAGCAATCGATTGTGTGTACGGCAGTTGGGAGTCGAACTTCGCAGAACTCCCTCAGTAAGCAAAAATTAATTACAAATATACGTGTTTTTTGTCTGTCAGTATGTTTATTTAGTTATGAAATTGTTTTGTATTGTACAGATTTTTTGCCGCGCTTCAAAGAGCGAATCCCAACATAGCTGTAGATTGGGAATTTCAGGGTAGTGATGTGGCGCGACACGTTTTAGACAGAGAATTCAAATTCGTGTTCTGGGCGTTTGGTTCCGCGATTCAAACCTTCAACATGTGCCTACAGGTTATTAGCGTCGATGGCACACATTTACGTGAACATTACAAAGGAAAATTGCTCGTGGCCGTAGCCCAGACTGTGAATAAGCGGCTATTGCCAATTGCGTATGCGCTTGTCGACGAAGAAAGCACGGACAGTTGGTCATTTTTCCTTAGGAATCTGCGGCGATATGTTGTATTCGAAAAACAGATATGCGTTCTTTCTGACAGGGATGTGGGCCTACGCAGTGCGATTGAATCATTACCGGATTGGCAAAAACCCGCTGCGCACCGGATTTGCCTTCGACATCTTCGAAGCAACGTGGTGACTCGGTTCAGGAGTAAGAAAATACGGGGTTGGTGTTGGGAGTTGGGTTCGCAGTTGTCGAAGCAAAAGTTTCGACAAACAAAACAGCGACTTCAAGAATTTAATCCCGACACATACAATTATCTTTTCAAAATTCCTTTGAACCAGTGGACCCTGTATCGAGATGAAAAACATAGATGGGGCACTTTGACAATGAATATGTCGGAGAGTTACAACAATGTCCTGAAAGGGGTTAGGTTCCTGCCGTGCAGAGCTTTGATAGAGCCACATTTCAAAAAACTCTGGATTTGTTTCGACAAGAACAAAACAAGTCCAGCAGATGCAAGAGTCCCATTGCTAGGGAGCACTATGTCGCATTTTTGCAGTTGGAGCAAACAGCCGCAACTCACGAGGTGGAATGTACGGACTACGACAGATCCATGTACGCGGGGACAATCGGTCTACGTGCT